GGGTGCATCGGGCTAAACAGGCGATCAAACATAAGTGTCAGTGCCAGGCGCGCAGCCAGGTGCTTGGCAAGGAAAGCGACACAGGGTTGACAAAGGGCTCCACTGATACTGAAAGCCCTCACCCCCGAGAAGAAATCGCTGAAAAGGCACATTTTAATAAGTCATGCTTTTCTTCGGTATTTTCTATCTCCTATCTTCTATATGTAGAGAAGGAAAGAATCCAGAAGGTATCGCGAGATTAACTTCTACCTGAATTTCATAGTCAATAAACTAAAGAAATGGTACTTTTAACAACGACATACAATAAATTTCCGGTGCTCTTAACTTCACCATGGTTCAATTGGCTTTCTAATCCGATATAACTAAGAAACTTTGTCAGAATTTGTATCTGGGCTCTTCAGGCATATTAGGGACCCCGCAAATTTAGAGTGTAGACCGAAATGAGCCAGCCCTTTGCAGTTAACATAGCCAAACCATTTTAGTTTGGAAATGTTAATATTTAGTCAGAATAAGTTGGTGATGAAAATTAGGTAATGTAGTTTTGAACATGTGCGCTCGCAAATCTTAGCAACAAAAAACATGAACCCCAGGCCTTGCAGTGTCCTTGGCCCTCGCAGCGTCGGCTTGGCGGCTAATACTGAGCCGTGTCCAAAGGCTAGGACGGAAATGATGGTGTTTGTAAAAGGACTTTTGGACGCTCCAGGTCGTCAAATATTTTCTGGGCAGTCCAGGCGCATATTTCACCTGTGCGACCTTTATATTGAAAATAACCACATGCTGGCATTTACTGCACCGCAAGGTGGCGCTGGAATCTGGTGGTGATGCTGGAAGAGAAAAGACAGAATGTCTCTTTTTTGTTGCCGTAACTGTTAATCTGTCCAACGAGTATCCTCAAAAATGGAAAAGGTACGCCTAGTCTAATCTTTGAGCGGTGTGAATTGATTTTGACCAACATTAGGAACCATCATTTCACAATGGCCATCCTCACGGGCGGCGCCCGCCGCCTGCTGTCACTTGAAATGACTAACGCCGTCCGTTTTTACGGAAGCTGTAACCCAGGCCATCGCTCTCCTTGTTCCCGAGATTGCGGGCGCGCATGCTCAAACCTTTTGATGTAATTTGTTACATTGGTCGATTCCATAAATGAATAAACATCTGCTCATGGGCACTTCACTTTCGCTCACAACTGTTCTTGGTCGTCTTTGGCCCCAAACGTGTAATTTTGTTCTGTTCTGTGTTGGAAAACTGCAGCCGTTCGGCCAGTTATGGGCCCCTTTGAAGCCTATGGGTCCCCTCGGCACATGAGGAGGGTATGATCCCGTGCCTTTCCCCTCTCCCTCTGTATCCGCCACCAGCCTGAGCAGCTTGATAGATGAGGTCCTACCAAGAACATGGAGCCATCCATTCAAATAAATAGTACTTCAAACTCAAATGGTGGGCTCCTGAACGACCGAGTGTACCCGAGCAGGTCAACAGATAAGGCCCCCGACAAGAGCACACGGCCCTCCACTCCAGTAAGAATTGCCCACGACACAATGTAGGCGGCCCCTGAACGGTAGAGTACGCGAGAGCAGGCTAACAAGTCGGACCCCCGACAAGGGCGTAGGCCCCTCCATTCAAATAGGGAGCACCCAATGCCCAAATAAGAGGGCCCCGAACAACGGAATGTGCCCCAGCAGGTCACCAAATAGACCCCCGACAAGAGGGTAGGGCCCTCCATTCAAGTAAGAAGCATCCAAGATCTAGTGTGGAGGGCTCGAAAGATTGAGTGTACCCGAGCGGGCTATCAGAAAACCCTCGACAGAAGTGCAGGGCGCTGCATTCAAGAACCCAATGTGCAGGGCCTTCAAAAAATCCAGTGTGGCCAAGGAGGCAAACAGAAGGGGTCCAACAAGTGCGCAGGGTCCCCACGTCAAATAGGAAATAACCAAGATGCAATATGGGGGCCCCAAACGATCGAGTGCACCCAAGCCGGTTCACAGATAGGCCGTGGCAAGAACGTAGGGCCTTAAGCAAGTGAAGAGAATTAGAAGGGCCGTAGTCTGAGGCAAAGGGCCGATGAGCATTTCGTGAGTGTGTCGGTACGTCAACCGAGACCAACGTGAAGTGCCCTAGACCAACCGAAAATATCCCGGCAGATTATCGTATGGGACCCTCGGCTTTAGCGTACGAAGGCTTCCAGGCAAGGGAATAATCCGTAGAAGGCCTCTGATTGACAAGGGCGCCGCGGCACGGTAGTGGGAGGAGCCTCAGCAACAACCCTGGGCCCTCTGGACAAATGCAAAGAAAGATAGTACAGCTCCTTAGCGATCGGATTGATCCTGCAGGTTGGCATATAGGTCTCTCCGAAACAGCATAGGGTCTCTGGACAGCGCAATAAGTCTTGTTATGTCCCAGGCATGACTCTCTCAATCAGTACAGAATGATTATTGTCTCGTCGTAGGGCATTCACCTTCGCTTGCGGCTACTGCTTGACGACGGGAAGCATAAATATGTCCAATTTTGTTGCGTTCTGTGTTAAAATGCATTTTTTTCGGCCGGCGTTGGGCTTCTTAAAAGCCTTTGAGCTTCTTCAGGCCCAAGGGGGCATAGGCGGATCCTGGGCGGGGAGGGGGGGGGGGGGGGGCACGGGGCCATGGCCCACCCCCAAAACCTCTGAGAGTATGCCTTGCCCCCCCCCCCCCAAACATTCCCAGATCTTCATTAAAGTTTCGTCTACTTACCGTCTGTTTTAACTTTAAATGTTTGAACTGTTTTGTTTTAACTTCTGTTTAAGATTCAAAAGCATTTCGGTGCTTTTTTCGGTGTTGAATGGTGTCCCTACTAGGTACTCGCGAGAGGCACCATGCACTGGACCTCGGATCCCACACCAGCCAGCTGGCGATGAACGGTTGCCCCCCCAAAAAAACCGGCTATATCCGCCCTGTTTGATATAAACCTGTGTGGTGGTTTTCGTCGTACCTACCACTCACATCACACTTAAACTTCACGAAAATATTTTTGTTTTTTACTTCAGGTGGACTTTTTTGGCCTGACCACCAGCGCAGGCAGAACGGGGGGGGGGGGGGGGCGCACATATGACACGTGCAGACAGGAGCGGATGCAGAAGGGGGGCTACAGGGTCATGCCCCTTGCAGAGGCGGATCTAGCCTGGAGTTTTTTTTTTTGGGGGGGGGGGCGGCAACCGTTCGTCGCCAGCTGGCTGGTGTGGGATCCGAGGTCCAGTGCATGGTGCCTCTCGCGAGTCTCCAGGCTAGATCCGCCTCTGCAAGGGGCATGACCCTGTAGCCCCCCTTCTGCATCCGCTCCTGTCTGCACGTGTCGTATGTGCGCCGCCCCCCCCCCCCTCCCCCCCGTTCTGCCTGCGCTGGTGGTCAGGCCAAAAAAGTCCACCTGAAGTAAAAAACAAAAATATTTTCGTGAAGTTTAAGTGTGATGTGAGTGGTAGGTACGACGAAAACCACCACACAGGTTTATATCAAACAGGGCGGATATAGCCGGTTTTTTTGGGGGGGGGGCAACCGTTCGTCGCCAGCTGGCTGGTGTGGGATCCGAGGTCCAGTGCATGGTGCCTCTTGCAAGTACCTAGTAGGAACACTATTCAAGCACCGAAATGCTTTTGAATATTCTACATACAGTATGCATGTTTACAAAGCTCGTAACGTAAGGTATTACTTTCAAGAGTCAACTGGTCAGATGGAGTTTATTGCAAATGGTGATAACTGACGGCAAGTAGACGAAACTTTTATGAAGTTTTGGAAATGTTTTGGGAGCCAAAACATACTCTCTGAGTTTTTGGGGGGCCAAGACCCCCCAGGATCCGCCTATGATATCAAAGCTTGATGGTTGGCAGGTGAATGCAGTTCTAGGACATTTTATTATACTAGCTTCTTTCTTTTGACTTCTGTCGACAGTTAACGCGCAGTTGCGGTAAAATGTGGGACCGTGTAAGCGCCGCGGCATCGACTGAGCAGGGTACTGTTGGTTGTCCGTGTGTTGATAAATAACACCCTTGTTATTGAGTCGCGCTGGCCACAAATTTATCTCGTTGGCGATCTGCAACTTTCAGTTGTCATTTCTGCTTTGGTGGCCCTAAGGCCGTTGCTAAACCGGGAACTAAATGAAAAGTGCCAGATCGCTCATATGCATTATTAATGTGATATTGATCTCTTTTGTAAACAGATTCGGAGTATGCAAAGGAAATAAATGTTCATGCGCGGATGAGTTGAAGCTGTTGCATATATTGTGCTTGTGACACATGGGGTAAAGCCACCCGTTTTTGCGGGCTTTTACGTTCTTACGTATTCTGCGTTTGCTGGGCTGAGCTATTGGGTGAAACTGTTGAAGTAATCTGGCAAATTACCCAATATAAAAATAGAATGATATGCCTTGATAGTTTTGGCAATATCACAGGTGTTGGTGTGCTTTCAGAGGGGTAGACACTTACACTGTGGTGTTGTTTCAGACCAGGTTGGTGGGTTCTTGACCAAAGATTACAATGAGCTGACCAACAAGGATAATCTCTGCAATGGTGAATATATAATGCTTGATGAGATAGGTCCATGCAAGGATCAAAGAAGATTTTCAGCAAATACATATTTCAGTCAGTGAAGACTGGCAAGAGCCTACCTGAGCAGTGTTCATGGCAAGATTACACACAAGCAAAATCATACAGAAATTCTTTTATGACTCACTAGCCATCAAACACTCATCATGCATTGTTGTCAGCATTATCATGGTCCTTTGGCTGGTGTCTCTGGTGGTGGGTGAACTCCTGCTGCTGCCCTGGAGTCAGTGTCCAGCAGAAAAGTACTGTTCGGACAACCTGCTGGGCCATCCACTACCTGACCGGCCGTGCCTGGACCAGCCCATTGATGTGGTCTACACATGGGTGAATGGCTCCGATCCGGAGTTCCAGGAGCGGCTGCACTGCGGCCGAGGCGGCGCTGCGGAGGCCGGTGCCGGGCAGCTGGCACGATGACTGCCACCTGGCAGACTGCATGCCTGCTGCTCAGCTGACAGTGGTGCCACCGTTGCCGCGCCGCCTCGTCCTGGCCGACCTCAAGTACTTCCTGCCGGGCGTTGTGCCGCTGGAGATGGCGCCTTCGCCGCTGCTGGAGCTCCCGGCCACCGTAATGCGCTTCGGCTCGGCGGAGGAAGCGCGTGGGGTGCTGCGGCGCGGAGTCGACTTCAGCATCAACAACGACAACTTCACGCTGTTCCAGACGTTTTGGACGTCTGAAGAGCGGGCGCCGCTCAGCACGCCGGCCGCCGGGCACGTGCTGCTGGTGGACGCGCCGGCGGCGGCGCTGGAGCCGGCGCGGCTGGGCGCCGCGCTGGCCCAGCCGGCGCCGCCGGCCGTCGTGGCGCGCCGCGCGGATGGGAGCGCCGCCGTCTTGCGACTGGCCGACCCCACCGCCGAGGGCCGGTTGGTGGCGCTGGCGAACGTGACCGTCAGCGGTCAGCCGGCGACCGTGCGGCGGGCGCGACTCGTGCTGCAGCTGACGTCACCGGCCGGCGACGCGGTGGCACCCAGCCGCTTCGCCGACAGCCAGGAGCTGCGCTACTCGCTGCGCTCCCTGGAGCGCTTCGCGCCCTGGGTGCGGCGCGTGTACCTCGTCACGAACGGCCAGATCCCCGACTGGCTGGCGCTGGACAGCGCGCGCCTCACGCTCGTCACGCACGAGGAGATCTTTCCGGACGCGTCGCACCTGCCCACGTTCTCGAGCCCGGCGATCGAGGCGCACCTCCACCGCATCACCGGACTGTCGGAGCGCTTCCTCTACTTCAACGACGACGTGCTGCTGGGCCGGCCCGTCTGGCCAGAGGACTTTTACACGTCCGGCGACGGCTACAGCGTGCGCCTCGCCTGGCGGCTGCCCGACTGCGCCACCGGCTGCGCCAGCCTCTGGCTGCGCGACGGCCACTGCGACGCTGCCTGCAACACGCTGCTGTGCGACTGGGACGGCGGCGACTGCGCCGACGGCGCGCCAGAGCCGCGCACCGACGGCGACGCGCCGTCGACGCCCGCCGACGCCGACGGCGACGCGCTGCTGCCGCCCGACGACGAGGACGCCTGCGCCACCGGCTGCGGCGACTCGTGGCTGGGCGACCGCTTCTGCGACAAGATGTGCGACGTGGCCGCGTGTGCGCACGACCTGGGCGACTGCGGCGCCGCCGCGTTCGCGCAGATGGCGCCACTCGGCCCGCTGCGCGACGGCGACGAGTACATGCTGCCGGCCGGCGCGCTGGCCGCGTTCTGGAACGTGAGCGCGCTGATGGCGCGCATGCGCCTCACGGGCGTGACATTCCCGCCGCGGCTGGCTGTGCGCGGACTCGTGCTGAACCAGCGGCTGGGCGTGCTGACGCTGCTGCGCCGCGCCAACACGACGCTGGAGCGGCTGCCGCTGTTTGTCAGCGCTGCGGCACTGGGCGAGAGCGGCGCCGCTGCCGAGCGGCTGCTGGAGGCGCGCGTCTCGTCGGCGGACGCCGGCGGAGGCGGTGGCGACCTGGCGGTGGAGGTGGCGCGGCTGGGCCGGCTGCTCAATGCTTCGGGCGTGTGGGACGCCGAGCTCGAGCGGCGGCTGCGCGCGGCCGAGCGGCGACTTCCCGACCGTAGCGGTCTCCTGCGGCGGCGACTGGAACTATTGGTTCGCGCGGTCGGTGTGCCATCCAACATCACGAGCTGGCGGCCGTCGAATCCCGAGCCCGTTGGCAATACTTCAGCCAGTGAGCGAGTAAGCCGGCGTTTGCTCGCCGTGGAGCCGGCAGGCCGCCCGGCAAGCAGTGACGCACCCACCGTACACCCCGCCGGCGGCGCATCCACCGGACGCAGGGCGCCGGACCCGGAGCCCGGCGACGCCTCGTCCTCGGGCCGCCGCGCGCTCGACACGTACGGGGCCAGCCTGCTGCACGTCAATCGGCTGTACACGCGCCGCTACGGCGCGGAGCAGAGGCGCGCCGTGGCGCACATGCCGCACATGCTTGAGCGCGCCATCGTCGCCGAGCTGCAGGCGGCGTTCGCCGACGAGTTCGTGCGGACGTCGGCGGCGCGCGTGCGCTCGCCCACCGACATGCAGTTCGCGTTTGCCTACTTCTACTACCTGATGTCGGAGCGCGTGCGCGCGCCGGCCGGCCAGATCTTCGACGAGCTGGACACAGACGGCTCGGGCACGTGGTCGGACCGCGAGGTGCGCACGCTGATGACGCGCCTGCGCCCGCTGCCGCTGACGCTGCGCGACATGGAGCGCACGTGGGCGCTGCTGCGCGACTGCGCGCGCCGCGCGCCGCCGGAGCCCGAGCTGAGCACACCGCCCGGCGAGCGCTACTTGGACTCGGACCTGCCCACCGTCAGTCGCGCTGCCGTGCTGGCCTGCGGCGAGCTGGCGGAGGAGCTGGAGCGCGCGCTGGGCGGCCGTCCGCGCTTTCCGCACCGCGTGCTGCCCGCTGACGACGTGACGTTCACGATGGTGCGTGGCAACGCTAGCCACCTGGTGGCCGAGCTGGACGCAGTGCGGCGTGCGCCGCGCCGCTTCCTCTGCCTCAACAACAACGTGGGCGCGGCGCCGCCGGCCGAGCTGCGGCTGGTGTACGCGCTGCTTGTGGACTTCCTGGAGGCGCTGCTGCCGCGGCCGTCGCAGTTCGAGCTGCCCGCTAACTACCGCAATCGGTTTCAGCACGTGGCCGAACTGCGGGTCTGGGAGCGGCACCGGAGGTGGCTGCGCGCGGCTACTGCGCTGCTGGCGCTGCTGCTCCTGGCCACGCTGCTGCACGCACAGCTGCAGCGGTTGCTGCGCGCGTTGCACCGCCGCTGCGCCGGCGGTCGGCGGCGCCGCGCCGCGCAGGATGTGTAACCGAGCAGAGGCCGCGTGCGCGGGCGAGGAATTGCGGAGCCAGTGGGTGGCGCTAGTCATGTGAGAAGGAAGTGGGAAGAGTGTGGGCGGCAATCAGCTACAGGAGTTGCGCCTGGGACCAATGGACGGGTGCGTTGTTGGTCACGGCGGCGACCCGGTCTGTAGCCAGCAGTTCTGCGTGGCGGTGTGGCTGGTTTGGCAGATGATCTTGTAATTATGCTTCGGTTGCGGATGAAGCAGTGGAGGTTGTGAACCAGTCGCAACCTGGTGAACAGGGTCGGATCACAGGGATATGCTCGGAAGCATTGGACAGGGTCAAGGTGGCCAAGAGTAGTCTTTGTGGTGCATTAATTCAAATATTCATCCAGGAATGCTCGTATGCGCTCTCTTTAGATTTAATTGTAGCAGTCGATCATATATTACGCAAAACCCAGTATTGAGATATGCCCATGTGGTTAGAAATTTTTATAAGAACTACTGTTTTTACTCACCGTGTTTGCGGAATGACGTAGCACTCGCAGCGTTTTATAACGCCCACGAAACACTGTGATTTTGTGATGTGTACACTTGCCAGGCCGAGCGAAGTGTAGGAACTCATATGTGAGGCAGAGTTGTGATATTTCGGCCGGCTACTTGTAAGCAGGATGCGGGTGCTTACCGCGACCTTTCACACCTGACTGCCCTGTGCTGTCCTTCGTTGCCTGGGTGTGTTGTGTGCGGTGATTGTCTTGTCTGCGCTACGCCATCGGTCCGACGGCGGCGTCCTGTAGTCCGGCGGCATATCGCGCAGGTCCCATGATCTCAACCGTCAGCCGCGTACCACTAACGCAGTTTGGCTCACACTTACATGTGCCCAGCCTACGCAACCACTGAGACTGTTTCGCGTTTGTTGCACGGCGTGGATGCGACGTGTTTACGTTTGGCATGGAATGTAGTGGTTTTCTACACCATGGTTTGCTACCTCTTCCTCTTGTGATAATAGATACACGCCGGACTGATAATGACATTTGGGTGGAGTCTTTCGCGAAGAACAGGTCCAGATGACCATGGAATCGTTCTCTCGGCGACAGGGATGGTGCACAGCATTTCGCCGAATCATGTGATTGTGAACGTAGACGCAGACAGCCTCTCCACCACCGTATGAATAATGCACAGGAAGCTCGACCAACGGACTGGGGCGAGGGGAGGCGAGCCATGTGTAGATATTACGCCTGGTGCGTGCCGTTGCGTGAGCTGACCATGCAAAGAATGGCATATCGCAGACTCCGTCGCTCAACCGACCTCACTGCTATGGTGTAGATGATGCCAAGTAACAAATAATGGGAGGTTTATCAGTCATTGAACCCGTAGCTCGCCATTACTTGATGCCCTCCAGCTAGTGATTTGCTTTTGTCTGTTGCTGTGAGCTGTACACTATTTTACAATCGCAGCAAACTCCAATCGTAGGTTTTGGGTTCAGCAGACATGCCTGATTTAGAAAATTTGGTGTAAGATGCGAGGCTTGCCCCTGTAGCTGATTTAGCACGCCGAGCATCTGACCAGTCTGCAGAGGTGGAGTTTCGCAGAATGAGCTGAGAGGAATATATTTATGCACTTTCTCCTCAATGTTGGATTCAGCAGCCCAAGTATAGAGAGCCCCCACATCATTCGGAAATGACACCCCTGTCACTATGGCAGATAGCTGCGTCTATGTGACAGAAGCCGCGTTTTCCGTCAATACCGCTCAGTTGGCGGGCGGCAACCGTGTTGTGGGAGTGAACGGAACATAGAAATTCTTTAAAAATTGTCTCACCGGGATATTCCGCGCAAAGTTATGCTGAGAATTTCAAAAATGTTAGGTTTTTCTGATTCCATAACCATCTTTGAAAACATTCTAGGAAATGGCAAATAAGACCACAGATATGTGTACGCCGAACAGGGGCCATTCAGGACAGGGGCCAGGGCCATAATATTACGGACAGTCAGAAATTTGTTGTGACGACCACTGAACCGCACTGTCGCGACTCAAACGTGAGCTGCGGACCCCGGCGAAGCGTGAATGCACGGTATCGCTGGTCTATGAGCCTGACGGCGTCGCGTGGGGATATTGGGGACGTGGAGGGGCGACGGAGGTTAGGTGTTTTCCGCGTGGTTCCTGGGAATTGTTTTGTTTTCGGGAAGAAAATCTGGTGGGTAGCCTGTGCCAGCAGGTTCAAGGCTCAGCTCTTCAGGAAAAGGAATTGTTTGAATGAACAATGTTGGTACCAGTCGCGAGGTTCGGTCACTGCGTTCGTGCCAGACGCTGCATTACTGCTGTGCTCATTAATTGACGTTTCAAAGACAGCAGGCACTGGATGTAAGGTGTAGGTGTACTTTCCTACCTAACGTTAGAAAAAATCATTGCACACCATTCGTCGTGTTCAAGGCGGCACATATCGTAAATCATCTCAAGACAGGTAGAATCATGCTCCTACCTTCGAATTTCAATAACTTCGATGGCGAGCTCCCGAGCGCTGCGCGCACCGCACCGCCTGGGCTTCCCAGCGCCGTTTCTGCGTTGCCGTTGCGTAAATACAATATTTCTGCTTACCAAGAACTCTACAAAATGTACGGGACCAAGGTAAACCATTCGTCGTGTTTAAGGCGGAACATATCGTAAATAATTTCAAAACAGATAGAATCATGCTCCTACCCTCGAATTTTAATAAATACGATAGCGAGCTCCCGAGCGCCGCACGCCCCTCACCGCACTGCCTCGACTTCCAAGCGCCGTTTCTACGTTGTTGCGAAAGCAAAATATTTCTGCTTATCAAGAACCATAAAACATGTACGGGACCAAGGTAACAATAATAAAGCAACCAAAATCGTTTCTTATCGAGTTTAGGTACATTTATGAAACACGCAGGCCAGAATAGTCCAGAACATATCCTAACCTGACCTAACCTAACCTAACCTAACCTAACCTAACCTAACCTAACCTAACCTAACCTAACTGAGAATAGACCAGAACCTAAGCTAAGCTAAGCTAAGCTAGCCTGACCTGACCTGACCTGACCTGACCTGACCTGACCTGACCTGACCTAACCTAACCTAACCTAACCTAACCTAACCTAACCTAACCTAACCTAACCTCCCCACCCTACATCCCCTTCAACCCAGCATCTCATTGGCATCCATGTTCCATGCCACATATAGGTGCCATAAAGTGAGCTTTTATTTAGCTGCCATGTTCTCATTTTGCTTTACATTCCCCACCCAATCCCCCTGCAACCCATGGCGTTGGCGTCGAGAATCAAATTTCATGGATTCTTGCTACCTTGTCCCGGTACATTTTTATGGTTCGCAGTAAATATGGTTTATAGTTGTAGTATGGTTTATATAGTACAGTTTATAGTTATAGTTATGGTTTATAGTATGGTTCGCAGTTAATATGGTTTATATGGTAAATATGGTTATGGTAAATATGGTTTATGTTTAGTAAATATTTTTATGGTTCGCAGTTAGGTTATGGTTGTCCTGCCTTAAGCATGACGAATGGTTTACTTTGGTCCCGTACATTTTGCACAGTTCTTGGTACGCAGAAATATTGTATTTACGCAACGGCAGCGCGGAAACGGCGCTGGGGAGTCCAGGCGGTGCGGTGCGCGCGGCGCTCGGGGGCCCGCCATCGAAGTTATTGAAATTCGAAGGTAGGAGCATGATTCTACCTGTTTTGAGATTATTTACGATATGTCATGCCTTAAACACGACGAATGGTGTACAATGATTTTTTCTAACGTTAGGTAGGAAAGTACACCCTGACCGGATGTAATTATTAACATGAATACTCTAGTGACTGTGTGATCTTACCCACAAAACATAATGATTGTGACAACCACAACAGACATTGGTGAGCAGGGCTGATGTAACCTGTTTATCTGGTAATGATGTGTGCCTACCATACCTCGACTTGTTCGCTTGACATTATTTGCATGAACATGATGATTGATTGCAACTAGCAGTTCATAATAAATGGTTTAAATTATGGTATGGTGTCTGTGTGAAGTACAGGGCTGTAATTTGGAGGAAGGTTTGATACCACAAAAGCAGTAAAACCTACCTCAAAATGAGAAACAGCACTAGTCAATACCAAAAGCTAGTAAACTGAGTATGTCCTTGCTTGCCAGCCCATCAATGTGTTCTCTTCTGCAAGAAAACTAATTGTGCCAAAAGAGTGACATGGCTACACTAATTTGGCCACAGCAACTTACTGCAACCCATCAGAAGCCACTTATCCCAGTGATACAAGACTGCTGTCCATAATAGAATAGCAGGCTATCTGATGCCTCTTCAGTGTATATTGTCAGCAGAGCACATAACTCGGATGACGTCCTCAAAAGGCTTGCCTCGCCATGACGGTCACTGTGTTGTATGTCAGCACAGAGCCATCTGCTGAGACTGCTGCTGATGACACACTGCTGATGGTGCAATGCTGATGACACACCTCTGATAGTGCATCACTGATGATGCACTGCTGATGACGCACTGCTGATGGGGCACCGCTGATGATGTACCACTGATGACACACTGCTGATGATGCACTGCTGATGACACACCTCTGATGAGGCACCGCTGATGACGCACCATTGATGACGCACTGCTGATGACGGTGGCGTGCCTGAGCAGATGGCGGGCGACGGCGCTGAGGATTGGAGGGAGGTGTGGCACGCGCAGTGGTCCGAAGGTCGGATCGACTTCCATCTGCCGGCCGTGTGCCCCGACCTGGAGCGGTGGTACCGCCGACTGGTACCCGACGAGCAGCCACGCACCGTGCTCGTCCCACTCTGTGGCAAGTCCGTCGACATGGTGTGGTAAGGAAGAGAGTTGTCTCCGCTCCCGGCGGGGGTTTGTGCCAGGCGCGATGTGCGGTGGTAGATGAGGTGCAATGCCCGGTGTTAGATCAGGTGCGATGTCTGGTGGTGGGTCAGGTGCGATGTCTGGTGGTGGGTCAGGTGCGATGTCTGGTGGTAGATCAGGTGCGATGTCGGGTCCGCTGGTAGATCAGGTGCGATGTCCGGTGGTAGATCAGGTGCGATGTCCGGTGGTAGATCAGGTGCGATGTCTGGTGGTAGATCAGGTGTGATGTCCGGTGTGAGGCTCACGACGAATGATATCCGTAGTCTCAATGTGGGAATATCCGCCCTACCCGCTGTTGTATTGATGAAACACGGTGTCGTAGTCCTGGCGACTCTTGCGGGCTTTAATGATGGTTTGCCGCATGCCGCGGCTCATGCATTCTACAGGCCACCACAGGGTGCATCGTGATAGCTGTCGGGCTTCGGTGCCGAAGCTGGCAGAACCCGAAGTCCTCGGCCGTGGGTGGGGAGGCTGGCCGCACGCTTTACGAGCGGTTTGCACAGGACTATACTGTTGTGTGTCAGAGCCATAGGCAGGCTTCTGGCTGAAGCTGAACGCGGCGATGGTTTGACATGCTCAAGTGTGTATGACTCCAGTTTTTATGCCTTGTTTCCAGGCTCTATCAAAAAGGTCACACGGTCATCGGAATAGAAGGTATCGAGAAAGCTATTGTGGACTTCTTTACCGAGAACAACATTGATTTTTCCAAGATTGCTGTTGGTTCGTACACACTTTACCAGGTACTGGAAAAAGCGTAACGTTCTTGCTGTCCCTAACGAAATACAACGATCATAAGCATCTGCTCCCCTTCTATGGGCCCTCACCGTCATGGCCTCCTGATCTGTGGGCTTTCATGGACCACATCACCACTTTTTTTAGTTTTCAAATTAAATTGAGTTAAATGAACCAGCAGCGCGTCCCGAGGCGTACTCCAATCACTGCGTTTACATTTTTCTCAACACATTTGACTCGCCTTGTTTTCGCGAGGGAGCTGTCCAAAAAGTGGGGGAGGGGGAGAGGATCTGAGTTGGGAGGCGGGCCGCCCTCTTCCCTGTTGTTCAGAACCCTATGCCGACGCTCACCCGTCGAGAAGTCGCAGCACGTTACCCCCTCCCCGTCCCCTCTCTCAGACGCCGGACGGCCGGCTGCGGGTGTACCATGCCGACATCTGCCGGCTGGATCCGGAAACTGTGGGCGCCGTTGACGCCATCTGGGACCGTGCCTCGTACGTGGCAGTACGCCGCGAGGACCGACCGCGGTGAGGCTGGCTCGGGGACGGCGGGCTTCCGGCTCGACCTTGTCAAGTAAAGACAGATTAATTTCCAGCTGATTGCCGCTTTTTGAGACCCGCAAATGCGATTCAGATGTTTGGACATGCGACTCAGTAGAAATGTGAACATGTTAAAAGCCACCATGCGTTCTCACGTATTGGAGCATCATAGCAACATCCATCGTAATGATGCAATGTTATAGTAACCTGGTAGTAATGTATCATAGTATTACGTTCAGTCTGCGTCCACACGTGCAGCTTGCTGAACATTGCTTGCATCACAGGCTTCCGTGTTGGGTTTCGTAGACGACTGCGCCGCGGGTGCGCCTGTCCCGCCGGCCTGAACGGCGCGCCCTCTCGCCGCGCAGGTACGCGGCGTTCCTGCGCGCCGTGATGGCCCCCGGCTGCCGGTACCTCTTGAGCTCGGTCGAGTACGAGCCGAACCCGTTCTCGGGCACGCCGCAGAGCGTGACGCCCGCCGACTTCCGTCCCGAGTTTGGTCAGTCGGCGGCGCGAGGCCTCGTGCGTCGCACCCGTCTCGGCCGCTGATGAGTGGAGTGCCAGTTTTAGTTGCTGTGACCTCGTTCTCTGCACGGTTGTTCAGTAGCTAAGTGATCACGAGCGGTACGTCGAGCCCGCGCGCGGTGCGTGTTGCGGACGTGCAGTGTGTCGTGAGTGGCGTGTCGATATGCTTGTGGTTGGATGTGGTTAAATCAAGTGCAGTTTAATCAGAGACCAGCTGTCCGTTTATCATAACTGTTCGCGAACGCGTATGGAACTAACTTTTCCTGGGAGGGGCATGCTTCCACATTGGCCAGTTCGTTGCAAAACTGTTTTTCACGTCCCTCCCTGGGTCAAGTGATGTTGCTCAAGATGTTTTACATGCTCGTGCGATTACTATCAGGACCAGTCGCGGCTATTGTCTTCGCTGCGCCGTCGATCTACCGCCACCTTGTGACAGCCGCACTGTATCACTGCTTATGCATGGACGGAGGATGAGGGGAGCAGGGCATGCCTCCCTTGAACCCTTGGAGAGCAGCCGTCATCAGGCGTGCCGCGTGGCAGTGCTCACAATGGGACCAAGCCACGCCCTGAGCACACCCTGCGCTGGATGTCTTGGCGTTGTACACATCACGACAAAACTGCACAATCAGTATCCTGATTGGATCGCCGTTTCAGAGCCGGTGGCGGATATCGAGTGTCTGGCCGTGAGGGACCGGGCGCCGGACGCCATCCGCCCCTTGGCCGCGTGGGACGTTCGTGGCCTGCAGGAGAACATGTACCTGATGACGCGCAAGTGAGCGCGCGTGGCTGGAGCGTCCCGCCTCACGCGGCAGCCGGTCGACGGCGAGGACGTGTTCGGGATCGGCTGTCAGCTGCCGGCATGGGCACTTAGCGCCGTTCGCTACGAACGCCGGCGGCGCGGATGAGGCGTGCGGTGGGGTCTGTTCGGGATCGGCTGTCAGCTGCCGGCGTGGGCACTTCGCGCCGTTCGCTGCGAACGCTGGCGGCGCGGATGAGGCGTGCGGAGGAGTCTGTTCGGGATCGGCTGTCAGCCGTACGTGGCAGCTGTGCCAGCCATCGCGGACGTCGGCGCCAGGCGCTCGCTATGAGACTCAGCAGCACGTGTTCGGGGTCGGCTGCCAGCGCCGATAGTGCTGCAGTGCGGACCAATGCGAACGGCAGCGGCAGGCTGGTCAGGTCAGGGGTAGTCGGGTGGGCTGTGCGCTCAGCTGATGTCTGCCTCAGTAAGCGGCTGGGCCTCAGCCTGCCGCCTTAGTCAGACGGCTCGGAGCTCAGACGGTGGATCCGTCGTAGTCCGGCTACATCCCTGATTAGGGTTTGTTCTGAATCGATAAGGCATTTGATGCGTCATGCCTGAAAGGGACCATCCAGCATCACATTTAGGATGTCTTGTGATGTATTTCATGTGCGTCGCATTTGACTTGGGTGATTTTAGTATGAAGTTTTCAGACGGTGTGTTTGGCCTTCATGGCCCGCGGCTACGAGCAATGAGTCACGACCCTGGAAATGCGGCGCATGGAAATCCTCCGACACACTTGATGCGCTTCCACCGGGAACCGCCTGTGGAAGCTTTGACCGAACAAAATTTCGGTTTCAGCACGCAAAGTTCAACGGTTCTGGAAACGCCCTTTACATTAGATAAATCGACCGGTTGGCTCCTAACGTCATCACTGTCAGTCTCAACTAAGCCTCACAGGAGCATGGTAATGCGGTATTTCCTGCCCTTAAAGCGACATGACCAAATGCAGGACATCAGAAGTGGGATCGTCCTGTACCGCGTCCAAGACGGGACCGGACAGAGCAGCACAGGACTGTAAAGGGGGGGGACAGAACAGAACACGGGACGGGGACGGTATAGAGGGCAGGACAGAATACATCACAAAAGAAAGATGCTGGATGTGATTGGGGGCGAAGGCGTTATCACAGGAATAAGGCAGGGGATAGGGTGAAGGACAGTCCGAGACGTGATATGACCTAAGCAGTGAACGGGTCCTAAAAAAGACAACAAATGGGGCGGAGGAAAAGACTGCACCGAGGACAGCACAGAGCTGGTACATAGAACAGAAAGGACAACCGAAGACAATAAGAAGGCAGAGTGCCGGGCAGGGCTGGGAAGAGTTGGAGTGGAGAGAAGAACATAATTGTGTGTCCTCTTTCCCGTCCTACGGCACGACAGATAGCAACACAGATTAAGGAAGGGCAGGACCTTTGAGCCTTTTTATTTTCACCTTGTTTGACCTCGCCTAATGCAAAGATCATGACCTAGGAACTCAAGGCTTGACACAACTGGGCTTAGATAGAGGCCAATCAACTATCTTAATTTGGTATCTTAAGCTCTCTCACTTGTTGAGATCTGGGAGGGGGGGGGGGAGCAAATTGGTCCTCTACACGAGCGAATGTTATTTACCCGGGCGTGTCAAAAGAACGTGTTCCGCATTTGTATAAGCATTTGAAATAAAAAAAAGCCATCTTGAAGATCATTCGATGCAGTTCACAGCTCTGCCATTCTTTAGAGCTGAACCCCTTTAGTTTCTGAGCTATACGTCCACAAAGATGAGCAGACTATTTCGTGCAGATTTCTGCAAGTGCACTCAGGCATCCATGACACCACAATAATGCCATTCAAATCCCGCTATTCCATCGGCCACGCACCGATTAAGACAGAAACAAATATACTGGTCGCGTCATTCATATTTGGCGTTTGTCAGCACGATTTGTAAGATATAACGGCCGTCAATTGGCTCTCAACCAATGCTGTACAAGGCAAGATGACGCAATAAAAGCAATAACACATTGAGGGAGCATCTTTACTAAAAGGATAAATTGTATTGCCTAGAGCGCCTTTTCTCCTTAAAAGGAAGGCATTAGCTATAATTGAGCTCAGTTCCACATATCTGGTCATAAGCGTAGGAACGTTTCAAAAAGTGGGGGGCCAAACTCAGGGTGTGCTCAGGAACTTTTTCTGGAAAGCGAGCCGATGACCGGGGGGGGGTTAGGGGTGGAGGTTGTTGTCGCTCTTTATTCAAATGTCATGGTTGCTATGCTCGATATGCATCTAGAGCTGCTTATCATTGGTGCACTATCTTGCCTATTCGACTAATCTGTCCTTTTGCAATAAGGCTATCCAGCCTCCCTAGATTATTCGTCCATTTTAACATTGTCTTTCTTGGGGAGGCGAAATTCCACGAGCGAGTAGGCATCTGGGGTCACTAAGGAAGCATCTGCCTCCACAGATGCCAAAAAAAGTCTGGATATAGGCTGGTGAGAATTTTGAAAGTGGATCAATGGCTCACAGTGCGACAGATTTTTGATGCGTCTTCATTTCGCTGGCTGCTTTTCAAGGGATCCGACTTGTAGCAGAATTTTAGATAGAAACAAATTCGGACGCTTCAAACTGCTAGAAACAATGTGACAAAAGCCATAAAGCCACAAAATAAGTCACATAATAAGGCCAATCTGTCATATGTTCCTCATCTGGGCCCAGCTTCCGTCCGTCGTCAGTGGTCACTGCCCTGGCCGGGATGTCTTCCGCATGATTGATTGCGAACTGATCGTATGGCTGCTTTTTTGCATACTTTTGGACCAGCGTTACTGCTACATGGTGTATGAAACACGTGTTAGATTCTCAGCATCTTTATCAGTATAAACAGTATCTGTTTACTAATTATCTCCCTCACACCACACCGTCGCAGAAAAATAGCCTCCAGAAAGCTGTCTGCCTTAGGCATGAATTGACCCAGCGGACACTTCATTGCCCATCATGCAGCGCATGCCATTTGATATGCTTTTATGTGTAGGCAGGGGCGTAGCCAGAGCCTTGCCAAGGGGAACACAAGGTTGATAAAAGCCCATCTTATGGTGGTGCCCCCCCCGAAAAAAATTACCGGATATGGCTTACTTGTTAACAAGTGAGACATTTTTCTTCGTTTTATAGTTATTCTTACCTCGTTTCCAGAACAGAAACCAGTAGCTACCGTGAGCTCAATTCTGTCTGTATTTTGAAGTCAATGAACTGCAGAATTCAGGCGTTGAACGACTGCATGGAAGAAACCACCGGCGCTCTTAATTTAATTTTTAGTTGGCTCTTTCTGAACCGATAGAATTCAGAACCTTTGTCAGATTTTTTATCTAGGCCCTACAGACATTGAGGACGTTGCGAAGGTAGATCGTAGATCGATATCCTTGATCCAGATTTGAAGATGAAAATTTAAGTGCAGATCGAGTGGTCAGCAATATCTATTACATGGCCAAGCCATGTTTGTCCGAAAATGTTCATCATTCAGTCAGAATCGATTAGTGATACAATTTATGAAAGGTTTTTAACATGCACGCTTGGAAATCTTAGCAACAAAAACTCGACACCAGGCGTTGCATTCTCCGTAGTCGGCGGAGCGTTGGCCCAGCAGCTAATATTAAGTCGTGTTCCACCGGTGGATGAAAATGATGACGATTCTGAAATTATTATCTTTAAACACTTGCATCAACTAGTAATACAAGCTATGTGGCGTAATTTTGATCATGCGCACTTGAAAATTTTAAAAACACAAGCCTCGATTCCAGGCGTTGCAGTTTCCTTAGGCATCGCAGCGTCGGCTTGGCAGTTAATAATAAGTTGTGGTCAACGGGTGTACGAAAATGACGTTTCTGAAAAATAATCCTTTGACACTTAATGGCATCAGATCTTACATTTATGTCTGAGTCTGAGTTTAAATTAAAGCAGTCTGAGTTCATATTTTAGATTGGCAATTTTTAGACTGATGAAAAGAACGAATTGGTCATTAAAGCACCCCGAAGTGGGACTGTATTCCGTTGGCTGAACTGGAAGAGTGAACGTAAAATCTCTATTTTTCGTGTTTTTGCAGCTATTTATCTGTCCAGAAGACAGATTAACACGGCGCCTGCCGTTTGGTGGTACTTGCAGTGACCGAAACTTTTCGATTTTACCGAAGTTGCAGCCCAGACCATCCTTGTCGTCGCTCTTGAAGTCGCGGGCGGGTATGTTCAAGCCTTTTGGCATAATTTGTTTCAATAATATATTCTGAAAAAAATGAATGTTCTCAGGCAAACATGGCATGACCTTTCTCATTTTTTAATTCATTTCGACCCGCGCTGTTCAACAATAATGAAAGCTCCACTCTACTTGGCAATAATGGGACCCCTTATTTCCTTCTGGGCAAGAGACCTCTTGAGTAGAACACCAGGGGTGCATTACCGTTTCCGGTCGAGGACTGAGGGGCCATTTCGTCCCATCGTGAAGCATCTTCTGGCTATCATTCTGGTGACACGGGACGGGATCTCCTGGTCGATCCGGAGGCTATTACAAGGATCGATATTACCATATTACATTGTCCCCACCCCTGACACGGGAGGCCTTCTGACCCGCGCAGCTAGCCACGGATCAGCACAGGAACTCTCATTGACGAAAAAACACTCCTGATCACCGTAGGTAGTCCGATAGTTGTCACATAGACTCCAGTTCCGTGTTTTTCTGTGTTCTTCAGAGATATTCAGTTCTCCCTGACTGTTGACTGTAAATGAAATGGGGTTCCTAATTTGTACTAACATGACTCACCCATGTTTATCTTTAAAAAAACTCAAGATCCTGTCAGAGCTGACTACTGATATGAAAACTACTTAATATGGCACTGAGCATGCGTGCTCGCAAGCGATAGCAACAACGGCCTCGACGCCCGGCGTTGCAGTCTCCATGCTGTGCGGCGCCGGCCTTGCGACTGTAATATTAAGACATGGCCAATGAGCAAACGGAAAAGATGACGCATCTTAAAGGAGATGCCTGGTGAGTTAGGTAATTCGGCATGCATGTTAAATCGTAAGTCAAATGCAACGTTTATCTGAAAAGTGGGTGGGGCAGTTAACATTGCTGGTCGACCATCTTCAAAGTTGGGGGACCATGGCCCCCCTGGTCCCCCTGTTCCTACGCCCATGTATCTAGTGCTTGTTTAAATATCTTCGAATGTAGAACATTCCCTTTGTAAAGGCCCTGGTCGCGACTGAATGAAGCGAGCCGTCATGCCTCTTGTCTGTGATATCCGTAACCTGGTGTGAGCCCCATGATTTTGCACAGCAGGTGTATGCCGGACATTCCTGTGGTCCGACTGATTACTATGGTCGGTCGATGGAGCGATGTAACCGATCGGTGTAGTATGACGAGTTCCTTAGACTCTCTAGAGCATGCAGAGCGTACTTCTCGCACGCACTCCATGCGCCCAGGGGTGTATTTTTCTATTTATGTACGAGTGAGGCTGGAGCTACCCTATCTCTGCGAGGGATGAGGTGGTGGGGGGGGGGGGGGGGGGGCGGGAATAACTACACATTTGGGTGCATTTTGGTCGCAGGTCTGACCATTTTCCTCGGTAAGTCCTTCATCTTCTTTTGCGAAATTACACCCGTGCACAACACGACACCGGGGATCTCAGCACACATGAAAACAGCATTCGGGAGGAAAAATGTTAATGGGTAGAAGCAAAGACGGCCGGCTCTTGGTTCAAGTGCTCAGAGTGGTGAGTCACGCACGCTATACGAGCTCCTTTATGACGCACATAACCAACGCAGTTGAACCGCACTTAAAACTTAAATAAACGATGACGAGCTCCTTTACGAACGAAACACAGCGTGCTCTTTATGCATTTATAGCTTGGTGTGGTCACCTCAACCTTGTGCGTCACTTGTTGTCACATTGAAGTTGGAGTCGATCCCACCTTGTGGGATCGATTCCAACTTCAAATCGCGGTCACGGAATCCATTTTGGCTCTGACTCCAGGCAGAACGGCGCTTATTTGAGTCGGTTAGGATTCCAGATCAAGGTCATGCCGCCTGACTCCCACTGAGTTGACTGGGTGGCGCGAATTGACGAGATAAACCGTTGCATGAGCTATGTAACAGCACGGCGCACATCTGGTCATTAAGTGAACGATGCATAGTGTGCATATTTAGTACTAACTGAGCGATGCTTAGTGTTCTGCGTTTGCCGTATATTAAGCATTTTGAGACTGGCTATATCGTTTGTACCGACATTAATGCTTCTATCCGCTTGTCTTCGTTTCAAACTATAAAGCTGAAGTGTAGCTTTGATTCCGTTTCACAAACTTTACAGGAATGTGTTTCACCTTGACTTATCAAAAAGTTGGTTGATTTCGTAGTCGACTGCGAATCCTCACGGCGTCTGGCGCAAGGACGCACCAAGTCATCCATGGATATCCAAGATATCCAGCGATTCAGTGAATACTAGGTCACGGATACGGTAGGTCACGGACGTACGTTCAGTGCGAAGGCCATGGACAGCCGTGTGTGCGGCCGGCCCAGCGGCTCCAGTCGGTCCTGTGGGCTGGTGGTGCCCAGCAGCTGGGTAGGGAGGTGCGCAATGTGGCTTCGTGAGCAGATGGGCACGGCGGCGCGCGGTTGGACGGGTGCGGCCGGTGTCACGTGTTATGTCAGTGATCCGTGACTGTGGCGCGAGTGTGATTACGTGACTGGGCCTGACACAGGCGCTCGTGCAGCATCCTCGGCAGAGATTCGCGGTGAAGATCTGTTCTCAGCGAACATTCATGCGTAAAACAAATAACCTTTGTAATAAGCCCCATGTCGTAAGTAGCGAATGCCTCGTATATCCGCGAACATGAACGACCAGCTCCACGCGAAGAGCTTCGCAGTTGAAACTTGGATTCATCCGCGTAGCCTGAAGCCCTTTTCACGACCCGAGTCCTGGCACAAGTCGTTGTAACGAATCGAGGCGCTCCATTCTCGCATTTTGGAAAATCCCGACCGAGTTTTGTGGCACCGGCCCGGCCGAAGCGTGAGCGCTGCCGCCGCCGGTGCGAAAACTACGGCAATCCGTGCCGCGCCTCACACGCTGCCCGCCCGCCGAGGGGGGGGGAGGGGGAGGGACTCAGGCAGCGGCGAATGGCGACGTAGCAGCGTGCACAGTGTGCCGCCAGGGGTCGGAGGCGGAGAGTCATGACTGCCGTTGAGTGTGGCGAGTGTAGCGGTGCACAACTGGTGGTTGGGGCGGGCGGGGCTCGCGAGCGGGCGCCGACGACGCGGAAGGATTGCTCTCAGGCAGAGGTCGCAGCTCATGATCAGAGATCAGCTGCTAGTGATCTGGAGTCGCATGTACCTGTGGGTCAGCATTGAACGCGGAAGGCACGAACCTGCTTAATCTGCATTTGGATGGAGCTTGGTGAAAGCTGTCGGTGAGACGTTCAACTGCTTCACCGGGCGGTGGAGCGTTGTGACAGTGGTGACGCTCGTGCATAGCTGGCGACGCCGACGTACACAGGTTCGTGCACCGAGCACCACCTCGGATCCATGGACGTGGACGACGCATTCCGCGTGTTGGACAGCAGCGGGCGGCAGCAATGGAAGCACATGCTAGCCACAATGTCTCAACCACTACCGGGAGCCTTCATCATCCTGCTGATGGAGTTTATTGGTGAGTCCGGTTAAAAAGACGAGACCAAATTCACATTCAGGGGGTCTGTTCCATATCTACATCTGATTTTTAGCTGAAATAGCACTCTCCATGATCAGCACCTGTAGGTCACAGCCATGCTACTTTAAGGCTTTCAGCCATGCTCTTGCTGAGATTGATGTGCGTGAACTTGTGCAGCCAAAGTATTTTTATAATTTAAAAGATTCTGTCACGTGCCCACTATAGGAAAACGACCCAAACATACCCGGCGTCATAGAAACGTCACGCAAGCACCCCACCTCTCTGGTGCTTTTGCGCTCGTAGTTCTGAGAGGCATGGCCACTTAGGTGTTCGTATATAAAAGGATGCAGCAGTAAGGGTACCCTCGGAAGAAGGTACTTGGTTAAAGGAAATACTTCACGTTTAAGATATTGAAGCAAGCATCAGGTATGATGAAACAAGCTCACTTATAACTACTGGCATTCTTTTAAGCAGAAGAGACTGCTCAAGACAGCACCATTTCTCCGTTTAATAAATACGCTCCATGACACGTCGTTGTTTGATTGTGTCATCGTGCCTTGTACAACATCGATTAGGAGCCAATCGCGGGCGGCTAGAATAGAACGACTCCGCCATTATGTTTTTTTCTCTGCCTTGATTGCCGCATGGCCTATGGAATGACAGGATTTGAATGACGTCAATATGACGTCATGAATGCTAGTTACCTAAAAATACTCTCCCCGAATGCTCTTCCCATTTTCGCGGACGTGTGGCTAGCCGTGAACTACACCGAAAAGATGGCTGCTGTCAAGATGGCTGCTCAAGCCCAAAACCCCATACAAATGTGGAGCATTCCATTTAAGACTGGTAACGCACTGGACGAGGGAGCCGTTGGAAGAAAGAGTTACAAGCTCGAGCCGATAACAAGCTCGAGATCGTGGCAAGATCGTGCTTTCATACGAAATTATTTCAACACGGATGACCGCGTGATGGAGCCGCGCGCGCGCTGCATGTACTGCCATGCTACCTGATTCATTGGCGGCGTGCAACTGTTTCACTAGAAGACCAGCTGGTCCAATGGGCGGGTTTGCGCAGAGAGCGGCCTCACGGTGGCCGCGAACTTAGCCCGCTCACATAGAATTGATGCAATTGTTGAAGAGGTTAGGCTGACGGCGTTGCTCTCGGGTAGTAATTGCTTTTGTTGAATATTCGACTAAATGCTTTGATGTCGCTTGACACGAGTTTGATGTCTGCAGTGTTCTTGACGTTTGCTCAAAATGACGTCAGAGAGCAGTGCAAGCAGCGTTGCGTGATGCGGGTTAACCAGGCGTGAACAATTGGTAGTGGCATCGGCTTTTCGGCCTGTCCGTGGCAGGTTTCCAAACCGGACCTCCCGTCAGATAGCCGTGTAAACACGAGGGTGCCCGAAAAACCGCAGACTGCAGCACGGCCAGGGGATTAACTGATGCAATGCAAACTCCTTTCTCCGTGTCGCAGGTTACACCCCGAACTTTGAGTGCCACCGACAGGGGCCGAATGGGACAGATATACTCGTGAACGCCTGCTTCAACGACACAACAGCGTTCTGCGACGACATCGTGTTCCGTTCCGGGTACACCAGCGTGGTGACTGAGGTCAGTGATAGAGTGCTGGTAACGTAGGACACCTGACCTTCGACATGAAGGCACAGGTGCGGCCTGTTGGCGGCGGCATGCACTAGAGTTCAATTAAACTCAAAAGCACGGCATGCATTGTGCGGGGGCTTGCATGTGAGTATCGTTTTGCTATGTGCACACAGCTGCTTCTGTTCCGGTAGCTAAGTTGATTGGGGCGTCTACATTGCGATCTTACTGCCCGCGCGGGGTGAGTTCGAATTGTTGTAGACGCTCTATGTTTGCGCTCAACTGAGATGGCCCGCGAACTCGAACAACGGCACTGGTGACGTCATCCTTGCCGAGCATTGTAGTACCTTTAGGTTTGGCCGATAGTTTCTGCCGGTGCCCTGAAATTTAAAGATGGGGTGGTAGGATCAAGGCTTACGAGCACTGCATAGCCTAGCCGTTGCTTCTTGAGATCCATCCAGTAAAACAGAAATCCGAGAGAATCTTTAGAAACTTAAGCTTTGCAATTACTTTTTTATCGGTCGGCTTACAACTAACGTTGTTTGCAACATTTGTTTCATCCAAATGATGAAAACCGCTCCAAGCACGCTTGTGTTTGATTTCTAAAAAGGCTTTTCGGTTAATGAGTAAGCGGTCCAGGGGCACTGCAGGACTTTGAGCTTACTTTCGCTGAAAGTTGTCTGGACAGTTGATCTGAAATGGATGTCCCTGGCACTCACTTTACGTAGAACATCAGGCCACTGACGTGACCATCTTTATCATTGCGGTAGTGATATCTGGCCTGACCCCACTTCCCCAAACGGAGTATTTGACCCAACATAGTGTGGCCTGTGTCTGGGGGCGTCTGTGGGATCTGTGTGTGTGGTGGTGTCTGTAGTGTCTATGGCATCTTTGATGTGGTTTGGTATCCGGCCCGACGAACAATCGCTCCTTTACACTTTGACATTCACCGCATTCGAAATAAATGGTGTCATTTTAGCTCAGTAATCGCATTACACTGCAGTAATTCCTACAGCGATATCTGACCACATCTTTTCTCCTAACAGCGCATCCTGTTCCATTACTCATCCTTGTAAAGGTGCCTGGTTCACAACGTTCAAAAATCCCCCCTCCCCCCCCCCCCTCTTGGGCTAGTCAGTGGGAGCTAACCGGGACCGGACCGGTGGTGGTCGTTGGTCTGTCCCTCCCCCTTGGATCGGCTCGTGAGAACTGACGCCGGCCGACGGTGGTCGGTGGTGTGCCCCCCTCCTGGATCGGTCAGTGAGAGCTGACCCCCCCCCCCCCTACTCATGCAGTGGTCACTGGTCTGCGAGCGGACAACGGACGTACACCTGCTGCAGTCGCTCTTCATGGCTGGCATGACGATTGGCGCTCCCCTGGTCAGCCCCCTGGCGGACATGTTCGGCCGGCGCCGGGTCGTGCTGCTCACATTCGGCCTGCAGGCCCTGCTGGTGGCCGCCTTGGTTTTCGTCCCCAACTACGCCACGTTCGCCGTGCTGAGGTGCGACGACCCGCACTGGACTATTCCAGGTGGTGGTGTGGGAAGCAGATGCAGGAGGGGAGGGGGGGGAGGGAAGGGGAGATGAGTGGAGCGGATGGGAGGGGAGAGGAGAGGAGAGGAGAGGAGAGGAGAGGAGAGGAGAGGAGAGGCGAGGAGAGGAGAGGAGAGGAGAGGAGAGGAGAGGAGAGAGGAGAGGAGAGGAGAGGAGAGGAGAGGAGAGGAGAGGAGAGGAGTGGAGAGGAGAGGAGAGGGAGAGGGAAGGGGATGAGTCATACGCAAGCCAATATGACGCCGCGCATGGCCCCTCGGACCTCAGCGACAGGGTTCTCAGCCCTATGGAGATGTGCGTGTCCTGCTCCCCTGACTCGCGTAACCCCTCGCTTCCCTCTCTCTGACCTCTGAGGATGCCTGGTGCCGACCCCTGACGCGTTCGATCCCTTGCCAGGTTCCTGGCCGGCGTCCTGCAGGTGGGCTGCCTGCCGTGCTTCACCTTGTCCTCGGAGCTGGTGGGGCCGCAATACCGGAGTCGCGTTGGCCTCTTTGGCTCCACCTTCTTCTCCATCGGTATTCAGATGCTGGCACTCGGCGCATACGTCACCACCACGTGGCGCCTCCTGGTGATCGCCTCAGCTGCCTTGGCCGGCCTCTCCGTGTTCGTGATATGGCTGTGAGTCGGGGTGGGGTACGGTGGAGGAGCCCGCGATCATGTGGCTCGTGTGGAGCTCCACAATGATTTACAGCAATGAACCGGGTGACCCTACAAAACACCTGTTCAAGATGAAATTATTTGGAAAGTAAGCTCGCAATATTGATTTTCGTATTTTGGGCTTGAGAAACAAATGTAGATGTCCCACAGACATATGGAGGCAAACATGATATACGGTGAAATATGCTCACTCGTAGCAATTGATCTGCTCTTGAAGGGAATGCTTCACATTTCAATAGTTCTAAACAAGCAACCTGTAACCCTAAGCAACCCTGAAACTCCCTGGCCATGAATGCCAAGGTGACCGTTCAAAACAGTCCCCAATATTTTCCCATTTTTGCGGGCGTGTAGCTCAGAAACTGAGGAAGAATAGATCTGAAGAAGGGCGGAATCGTTAGCAGTACCAAAAGCTCTTAAAGATGGTCATTTCAGTTCGAAAACACACATGAACGCGGAAAACTCACTTTTAAGTGTAAAAGACTGCTCTGGTTAGCAAAATTTCACCATGTAGTAAATATCCTTCTCCACACGTCGTCGTTTGACTGCGGCATGGGCCGTTCATATAGCGTAACCATGGCTGCCGAAGCGGCCGTGCAAAGCTGTCACTATAGCGGACGAACGGATTTTGTTGTAGTTCTCCGACTTACCGAGAGGTGTCGTGCTATCGGTGGGTGTTCGCAGAGCCCATATATCGTCAAATGCGCGTATGTTGACTATCTCTCGTTCAGTGCTGCCATATTTCCTAAGACCTAATGCTGTTTACTTGCATTCGCGTACTCGGTTATGGCGATATGCTTTAAGGGGCTACTCCACATTTGTATGGGGTGGGATAGCCATTTCGAAGATCATTCACTGCATTTCACAGTCCAACCCTTTCTTAGACTAAGCACGCTGTTTTCTAACCTTGATATACACGAAGTTGTGCAGGCTTTCTTGTGCAGATTATGGTAAGGTCACCCAGGCATGCATGACGCCATAGAAACGTCACGTGAACACTGCGACCTCATTGATCATGCAGTTATTAAAGCCGATTCAAGTATTTCATTAAATGATTCGTGTTTGGCTATGTCAGCATGATTTCCGGCATCAACGGACTTCAGGTGATCATCAACGTGCAGTGCGTTCAATCCAACTTTCGAACGGGAACCAGCTTCTGTGCTATATACTACAGAAATTTCTACAGGAATTATATCATACAGCAATTTGGGCATTGGCGCAAGTTATGGCGGAAATAAGACTGGGATTCGAATAACTTGAGAAAAGCGCAATAGCTGAGCGTGAAAAAGGAAGCAAATAATATCAGGGATTAATGAGTGATCTTCAAAATGGCTATCTCAGTTCAAAATACCATACCAATGTGGAACACTCCCCTTGAGATAAACATACATTGCGCGCATGTCAATATGAACGATGTGAGTGTACAAAAAGAGTGATATAAACCGTCACGATGCAATGTATTTTTTCTGATATCGAGCATGGGTCAACAAGCTCCAGGAATAGAGTAGAGGTTGACAGTGTGGTGAATGCTTCTTATCACAAGGCGGAAGCCTGTGCTTCTAGTCACAAACTAACGTTTTATTTTCCCTGGTGCTAAAGCAGGCTCAAATGTAGCGTCTCAATTGTAATGGTCTGTCGGCTATGGATGGCTCGTCTAAGGTTGTTTGGAGGGCGGTCGTAAAATTTCTCAATGAAGGCCAAAATGTGGAGAAAATTCCGCCATGTTTGCTCAGTGCGTCTGCGGTAACTGCCCGCTTCCCATTCATCCACGGTGGCTAAGTGGTCCGCCGATTTTGCACGTGTACTTTGCCCACTTTGAGATGACCCCCGGGCAGGAAAACAGCCTGAGGCAACATTGCCCCAACTAGTCGAAACTGTGGAAGCGTTGATCTTGAAAGATAGATGGATCAAGATAAAATATATTGCAACTGATTTTCACACATCATTTTAGTGCTGTTGAAACCATCATCCATGTTCATGGGCAAGTTGTCTACTGGATCCAGGCCGCGAAACCTCATCCTACAAGATCGGCATTGACGAACTGCATTAAGTGAGGAGCTTTCCGCTGTCTCCAAAACTGACCCTGCGTGCTTGTTTTAACTTAAGGTGACAGGACATAAGACAAAGCCTCACCACTTGGAGCCCGAGTTAAATCGCGAGAGCATGCGTCGGAAGCACAAGGGATATTCCACTTCGAAGACTTTCGCAGTCAGGCCTCCGCGAGCAAAGTGGTGGCGACCTTTCCGGATCTGTTTTGGTATCATCGTGATCGACTACACGCCAAAGAAACTAACAGTCACCGGAGACTGCGCCGGCCTAATGATGCAGCTGGGGAAGGCATGTAAAAGAATAGGGGATGAGAGCTGGCAAAGAGTGTCCTGCTTCTTCACGACGGTGTGTGTGTTCAAAAGACCGGGCTCGTGCGGATTGCTATTAGGAACCGCGGCTCTATTGAGCTCCAGCACACGGCATGTAGTTCGGGTTCGATCCCAAGTGATTTCCACCTTTTCTCGGTTCCGAGTTCGTGTCCCCGGTGAAGGAGGCACGCTGGTAATGGGACCGTGTGCGCCGATGCTGGGGGGTGGGTGGAGAAACAGCCAAGGAAGTTTTCTCCCGCGGAATCGACAACATTGAGAAGTAATGGGAGAAGAGCATTGCTCTTAAGGCAGAGTACATTTTGAAATCAAACCTTTTTATCCTATGTGCGAGGTTTTTCGTATGTTTTATTGTTCAAACAATTTGATTAAGTCATGTGCTCCTCCATATTTGTTAGGAGCATTTGCATGATTCCGTGATGAATGCGTCACTGACAGCAGGCGCAACACTCGCCTCTGTCCTCACCACCATCTAGACTCTGCAGCCAGAGGCCAGCTGCCGCTGTCCTCAGTGGTCCATGTTACAGCCTCCGCTTCGTGTCCGCCAGCACCCTCTGGCGTCACCGGCTCCCGCTCCCACCGCCATCTTCCATTTGGTGATTGGTTCCGCCTCTGCCGCCAGCATGGTGCCCGCCATCACCCTCTGGCGTCATCGGCTCCCACCCCGGCTGCCACCCCCCATTTGCTGACTGGTCCCGCCTCTGCCGTCAGCTTTGTGCCTGCCAGTCCGCGATGGCTTATGCTCAATGGTCGAACCGAGGAAGCGCACAAAGTCATGCTGGGCGTGGCGCGTGCCAACGGAGTGACCCCTCCGGCCAACTTTACCCTGGTGGCCGCGAGGGAGAAGACCGTTGGCTTTCCCGACAACTGCTGCTCGCTGTTCCGACACTGGCGCTCCGCTCTCTGGACAGTGGTGCTCTGCCTCACCTGGTACGCTACGACGGTGGCCATGACGCTGCCGGCGGCGGCGTCCATGCCAGAGGCATGAACCAGCAAGGATTTAGATTAGTGGCGAGTAGGAAATGTGACGTTCGTCGCAGCGTAACTTGCGATTTGCTTTGATGCAACCATAGCTATATATATATATATATATATATATATATATATATATATATATATATATGTATATATATATATATATATGTGTATATATATATATATATATATATATAATCGAGTGGAATTGTTCGTTAAGCATGACTATGTGGGCTTTGCACCCATTTGTCACGGGATGGGATGAGATACGCACCCGTTAGATGCAGGGTTACGTTGATCTGTGCAGCATGAATGATGACGTCACAAGTGGGCAAAGGGTGCAGGAATTATGAAACTTTCCATTTGTCCTCGCTCTCCCGTTCTCGCAGCAATGCAATCACAGCATGTAACAGGACGCCAAACAAAAGATACCTTCGCCAACGCCGAGCAACATCATGTGAGGGCGGTGGTTTTAGCGCCAGGGCTGTGTTGTTTAATATCGGCACCGTGCTTGGTCCGGCCAGTGACCTGCTGTTACCGCACAGTACTCAGTTATGCTACTCACGTACTGCTACACCATACTATCGAAAACTACACGGTAGTCATGTACTTTGATGGAGCCTCGCACGTTGTGAATTCCGCCAGTGCTTTAATATCCCGTGCACCTGCTGTGACCCAGGGCGGTACACACGCTGACCTACTACGGCCTGACGGCAGCGGCGGCCACCATGGGTCAAAACCGATTCATCTCGTTCGCCCTCTCGGGCCTGGTGGAGATTCCGCCCAACATCGTCATCTCCTGGCTGTTGGATAAGTGAGTACTGGGCAACATCGATGTTTCGCCCTTGCACAGGGGCTTTGGACCTAGGTTCTTTCCAGCCGTTCTGCGCGCAGGGCTAAGCAGTGTGCACAATTTCCAGGTTCTGTTGTGGTTTTTACGGATTTTTAAAAACAAGGTTTCGTGTCATTTCACCGTTTTTGCATGTGATGCCTGGTGCATTGTTGCCGTGCTACAGAATTGAAAATAGTAGCGTGGATCGAGTTACCGTTTTTTTATATGCCGATAGTCATAGCTGCTATTTACTGGAACGTCACGTCCACGTACCATTGCAAGAGCAGATTGAGAACGTGCCGCCGATTGCCTCGACTGGCATGCACACATCCGTACCCGGTAGCCAAACTAGCTGCCCAATGAAGTTTCCATTCCCTATCGTCGTGATATCCTGTGCTACTCGTTTTTACGGCAAGGCTGACTGAAACTCTCGGAGCAGGCTCGTCGGGGCAGTGTTGATGATGTCCACGTGTTTGTCTTTTGAGAACCGTGCGTTGGCTTATGTTCATCGTTCATGCATTTAACACATCGCTGTTTTTATAGTTTTTTCTCGTCCGTTAGAGGTATTCTACATGTTGTAGGCGTACCGCTACAATGTATGCCCATTATAAACTCTGTTGAAGACACGTGAGAGCTTCAAGTTAGAATAAGTTTCATACTCTGGCCTACGTCGCGACCGCATTGAAGGGCAGCGATACAGCATGCAGTAGGAACATTCCGCCTCCCAGCTTTGAACGCCCCTGACCAACTGTTTGCGCGAGTACACCTCACCGGGATCGAGCCTGTCAACAGCTGACTGCGAACACCTGAGAAAACTCGTGTCCTGCCACGGATGATCTGTTAGGCGGTATGGCGGCGGCGCTGACTACGGTCTCTGCCGCAGACTGGGCCGACGGTACACGCTCAGCGGCGTGATGCTGGCCGGAGGCATCAGCTGCGTCCTGATCTTTCTGCTGCCTGGCTCCTACATTGACGATCAGGGAGGCAGGCTGACGCTCAGTCTGATAGGTTAGTTACTCCTGCCGTGTGCTGAGAGAAGCATATCTGACATTCAGTCTAATAGGTCGTCCACCCCTGGACTGTTCTGATAGGCAGGTCTCACATTCAGTCTGATCGATCTGTTTCAGCTGTCTTCCCATGACTGTAGGAGGCTAATGGAGTATTCCTCCATACGCGATTAAATGGAAAAGTGTGTTTCTTTCTGCGCCCATGCGTTCGCTGGGGCATAATGAAATCGTGACAGCAAATGCGACTGACCAAATCGGTATCCTGTTCATCCCAGCCGTCCTGGTTTGCAGGGAAGCTGTGCATAGGTACCACGTTCACCGTAATCTACATATTTACGGGCGAGATTTTCTCCACATCGGTTCGTAACACTGGCTTCGGCATCGTCAACTTCTGCGGGCGGATGGCTGGGATCGCCTATCCCTTCGTAGCGCTGCTGGTGAGTAGTTTCCCTGATATCTGCATCCGAACGATACTACACGCTGGTCGCATCTGCGCACATCTGCTGTGAGCATTTGATGTGGACGGCTACCCCGTCTGCTACGTTAACCGGTCTGAGGACGGCTAATTCATCCTGCGAGACGAATCGTTTGTGAAACCTGTGTGTTTTAAACGTTGATGTCAGTGACTGCACTTGTCGCATCACTTGTGCAGATCGTATGCACTTTTTAAGTTCATTTGATCCCGTCCCGTCATTGTGCAGTTGGTCACATTGGTGAAATGAGTGTCTTTTGCACCTGAGTGGCCTCACCAGCCTCTTACTGGTACTAACCTGCTTGTCACAGAGACCCATCACACAATGGCGCAATTGCTGGTGCAGTTTGCACCACGGACACTGAATAGGTCTCATAATTAGTGCATAATCGTCCAAGTGAAAACCAAGAGGCTAATACACCTGAGCACTTGCACAGATCACGGTAATATCGAATCACACTCTTTTTAAGATTTATGTTCTGATTGACTTCCAGCGCGATCGTGTCTTCGGCCTCGGTGCTCAACGCATTCCTTGCTCATGATAAGGGCACATTTTACGCGGTCGCGTCATTTTTTGTCGTTACTTTTTCCACCAATCTGACCTTACGTGATGTTAGTTATCGCCCAAAAGTGGGGAAACTTGCTATGAGAGCAATGGCCGACGGTCAACAAGCTGTGGGAATACGATTTTCCGTGCAGCGTTAGTTTGTCTCGGACGCGTCATTAATTGCCACACGTGCTGATCATTTCCGTCCCGCTGATTGGTGCGATGATTTCCCTCAAAGGGCTATTGTTCGCACCCGTACAACGCATGCAGTCATCGATACCATGGACGGGCAAAATAATTGTATTTAATTTTCACTGTAAGAATCCTTATCTGGGCTTTCCAGTTCTGCCGATATCAATGGCTTAGTACAATGAAATAAAATACATTCAGAGGTGTATTTTTGGAAAGGCAATGTGTAGTTGGAATCCATCGTTGTCTCGAAAACTAGCATAGGTTTTACTCTCGTTCAAATCAAATGTGGCTGGAATCGGTGATGATTGGACTCATGGAACAACATACTTAAATTAGCATACAATAACATACACGCTACATAAACATAACATAAATAACATAAATGCAACAAACAATATTATTGCTCTCACAGCCTTCAACTTTGCAGCGAATGGACCACACGACATGGTGTTCTCATGTGATTTTCAACATACGTGTTTACGGAACCCATAGAACGGTTTATCAAGTCATTTCTTGTTACCGCATTCGGCTTCCTTAGGACCGATTCCAGACATGAGTCACACTTCCTGAGTTGGAATCAAAGTCAACTAAGAGCTGTGCTTTCGGGTAGAGACCCAGGATCAACCAAATGCGCTGGAAATCTAATTCGGAACGGGTCTAAAGAGAAGTGAGTGGTTCTACAAGGCGTTCACATAAAATACAAAGGATTGCTAAATGTAAACGTATTTTGCCCGGCCTCATCCCTTCAGGTACCGTGAATTCCTGGCCGTGCTTTTCCCACTCGTTCGCAGAATACTGTGAGGAAAGATCTTCATTTCTTCGTGTTTGGAGCGCTCATCACATCATCGGCGCTGCTGGACCTGCTGCTGCCGGAGACAATGGGAAAGCCGCTGCCAAAGACAGTTGGGGAAATGGTCGGAGAAGACGTTGAAATGTATCAAGCCTTGCAGCTTGACGAACTGGAGGGCGATTATGACAGCGATAGGAATGCAATGAAACCAAATCAAGACTGAACAAAGAACGTAGGTGTTTTTGCCACAACACATGCACCGCCGTTAGGTGTGCTCTTGGCAATTTTGTTACATCGACATGCATCTCGCTATTGCAAGCAATGTGCTCAGTTGGCCACGTCCATATTTTTATCATCTGTCGTCTGTGACAAACTCTTAAACACTTCGGTGTTGCAATTTTTTCCTGACTAAATGATTGCGGTGGGTGTGCGGAACAGTGGACAAGGCCCACATGTGATCTGTACTTCTCGTTACCCAAGATGTCTTTAAATGACATCTGGCCCTTGTGTTAAATCCTGAACAAATCATTGATATGCTTTATCGACTGTAAGCCCAGTGCAGTGGGAAATATGAAGCTTGTTAACACGCGCTCAGCGTTTCAGCAACCATAGGCGTCATTTCAGAACTCGCATGAAGTGTCCCCACGTAGAAAAGCGCAACGGAATGCGGGATTGCGATGCGGCGGTTCGTTGGGTGAACATTTGTTGTTTGCTGTTTTCTGTGATAAACTGTCGAGATGTACTGCACCATTGGTACACCATTGGATTCGGTAGTGTCATACGTCGGAAAGGAAAGGAACTGGCTATTGAGTGGTACCAAGTTTTCAGTTACATGGGCCACATGTAGCCCTCACACGAACTGGCAAGGTGGACTTCGTCCTTTTCGAAGAGCTTACACGTCTTTTTGCCACATGTGTGTACCCAGAGCACGGACGTACTCGAGAATGGCATGCATTGGTAGAGAGTCGACAGACAATCACATGGTGTAGATTGTAATGTAGCATGTGCCGCGTGCGACTTGTGTAAGAGCCAGCAGGATGGATTTGACCGTTACTGATCGTTATTCGCATTTTACGCCATATCTAGGCCGTATCATTATACCGTATCCGTATCATTATATACATATATATATATATATATATATATATATATATATATATATATATATATATAACACATAACACATTACACATAACCGTATCATTATACGGTTTTAAAAGGGGAGCGACGTCGATGTGACCCCCCCCCCCCCGTTTCCCTGCCGTTCCTAAGCTACGAAGGATAGGGCGTAGTGGAAAAGAAACGGTGGGTTGGTCTTAACGGGATCACACGATTGGTAATAAGCTTTAAGCTGCTCTCAATAAGTGACCCCACGAGGCGAGGTTAAAGGTCAATGCTTCACAAAATCAATTTCAGTTTGGTTCAATTTTACCCGAAGATCGAACTATTTTAGTTTTATATGCCCATGTTTACAAAACGATGCCACAAAACAACATCAAACTTAAAAAGGCGCATCTTTGTAATTTTGAACACCGAAACATGTAGCTTTGTGTGTTTTGAGCATATATTTATGACGTATAGCTCCGTTAATGTAACAGTACAGGCCCACCGCCCAAAGTCGGCGGCTTCGTCGGCTGCCGCCCGCAGTACGCGCACATCTTTCCGCACACATCTTTTTATCATCAGCGCATTATCAACTGCCTACCGCCCAGGGCTGGATGAAAACCTCATAGCGCACTCAGATGTGCACCCATAAATGTGGTGGATGCCTGTCGTCTTTTGCATGCAATTGGAAACACTTTCATGAGCATTTGCTCTGTCGTTACATAATGAGTCTCCTAGCTGATTTGAGGTAATATTGACTTTGCAGTGCATTTTTATTTAAGGTGGACAACTCCTTGATAAGGCAAATTCCACAAAGCCGATTACGCTGATTACGAAAAAGCGTAAAGTGCTTGCTGTCGCTAACAAAACACGACGATCATAAGCATCTGCTCCCATTCTATCGGCTCTCACCGTCATGGCCCCCTGATCTGTGGGCCGTCATGCACCTCATCACCACGTACTTTAATTTTCGAATTAAATCGAGTGAACTGAACGAGCAGCGCGTCCCGAGAAGTACTTCAATTACTGCGTTTCATTTTTCTCCACACATTTGACCTGCCTTGTTTTCACGACGGAGCTGTCCAAAATGTGGGGGAGGGGGAGCGGGCCTGAGATGGGAGACGGGCCGCCCTCTTCCCTGTTGTTCAGAACCCTATGCCGACGCTCACCCGTCGAGAAGTCGCAGTACGTTACCCCTCCCCGTCCCCTCTCTCAAACGCCGGACGGCCGGCTGCGGGTGTACCATGCCGACATCTGCCGGCTGGATCCGGAAACTGTGGGCGCCGTGGGCGCCATCTGGGACCGTGCCTCGTACGTGGCAGTACGCCGCGAGGACCGACCGCGGTGAGACTGGCTCGGGGACGGCGGGCTTCCGGCTCGACGTCGTCAAGTAAAAACGGATTAATTTCCAGGTGATTGCCTCTTTTTGTGACCCGCATATACGATTCAGGTGTTGTTTGTACATGCGACTCAGTAGAAATGTGAACATGTTGAAAGCCACCATGCGTTTTCACGTATTGGAGCATCATAGCAACGTCTATCGTAATGATGCAATGTTATAGTAACCTGGTTGTAATGCATCATAGTGTTACGTTCAGTCGGCGCCACACGTGTAGCTTGCTGAACATTGCTTGCATCAAAGGCCTCCGTGTTAGGTTTCGTAGACGATTGCGCCGCGGGTGCGCCCGTTCCGCCGGCCTGAACGGCGCGCCCTCTCGCCGCGCAGGTACGCGGCGTTCCTGCGCGCCGTGATGGCCCCCGGCTGCCGGTACCTCTTGAGCTCGGTCGAGTACGAGCCGAACCCGTTCTCGAGCACGCCGCAGAGCGTGACGCCCGCCGACTTCCGTCCCGAGTTTGGTCAGTCGGCGGCGCGAGGCCTCGTGCGTCGCACCCGTC